TAAAAAAAAAGAATTACCTCAATAAACACATCATCACACTCAATTTTTGTAACTTTTCAGCCTGCACTCGAAACTTTATTCCCTTGAAATTTTCACTATTTTCGTGTTTTGTATACTTTGATACTTGTGCATTTTTGTTCACCAAATGTAAAGCTGACAAAATGGCTCGTTTAAAGCATTACTCATCTACATTCTCTTTATTTACGCAAGTTTTTTTTCTTGATAGAAGTTAGGAGTTCTATGTAACAACAGTTACTCTTTGCATGATACTCGTTTACATCTATTACTAAATTTAACATCAAGCATAAAGTCCAACCAGAACCGTGCTTTTTTGATTTTTTTATGTCTGCAAAAACGTTCTCTTGGACTTTTTTTTACAACTATTTATGTAGATTTGTTGTAAGAGAAATGCAGTATAACCAAGCAATGTTGGGATCAAAGCTGCATAGCAAACTATTCTAGATGTTCCAATCAAACTGAACTGGCGCTTTCGATCGTAAGCAGCACCGTTCAGAACGATTGGGACAAAATACAAAAAAGTTTCAACTTAAGCTCTTGAACCCAATAACTCCAAAGTATTTAGCCCCTTAGCCCAGAAATCTCAAAGCCATCAACCACCAAACCCAATTTTTTATCAACTGTTGAACCCCATTACCTTTTGCCATAAACAGTCAAACTAATTATGTGAGCATAAATCACTAGATACCCGAGGCACCTACTGGCTACTTCATTATATAATAAAATACGGTTAAACAACACTAGTGCCAATCACCAGAAAGCTAAGGGCACCTACAGGCTACTTTATTAATTAATAAAGTGGGATTAAACAACACGAGTGCCAATCACCAGATAACCCACGGGTAGCTACTGGGCATTTTATTGAAAAATAAAGTCTGATTAAACAACACAAGTACTAATCACTAGGATACTTTAAATTCTTACTGGCAGCTTTATTACTTGATGAGTAATTACTTTGTAATTCAAGCGCTGATCATAAAAGGGCACTTGTAAGAGAATTAATAAATTAATTGTTATGGGGTGCAGCCGATGCAAAATTACGAGGTGGAATTCGCAACCTCGACCGGGCCTGTGTTGCCCGGGTACCCTCGGTGACACCTCCAATAAACGGTATGCGTGGGTCTCGCTCTCTGAGACACAGCCGGGGCCAAATATCGCGATGACCTTGCACGTCGCCGCCTCTCACGACAACTTTAGCACGAGATAAAGGGGATCGGTCACACACAAAAGGAAGCACTCGCGAGTAAGTTTAAAATGGAAAATATATCCAATTAAATACATAAAAAATTACAAGTCGTACTCGCGGATGTAGGTGTGTGTTCTCGCACGTCGAGCGCGATTGCTCCGAAACCGGGCAGACCTACGCGAGCTAATCTAGGGCCACTGCCCTTTACAATAAACTGCCTGTTGGCTGGTACTTACAGCGATGCGGGGGGTCGCTCCTCATCAGTGCCTTGAATAGGCGGTAACTAGACGCTGTTAGATTGAGTACGCAGAGTCCAGTGGGCGTCCCTACTGGCTGCGTTCGGAGGTCAACGTCGTCGGGGTTGGTCTTGGCTCAACCTTGTCCGCTGGTTCAGGAGCCGGGTCACGGCAACAACACTGTACCGTGACGTCGAATTATCTCCCTCTATGGGTTGCCGATATCCACGTTATCGGTGGATCACCCAATCACTCCCACACACAAACTTTCGCACCAAAACAAACGGAAACAAGGGGGGACTGCAGAAAACACCTCACGCGCGTTCGCTGACCCAAGCTAATCTGCCGCTCTCTCGACCCTTTCTCCCGTTTCCTACGTTCCCTCCTCGCTTTCCCACTAAGGCCCTTTGACACTCTTTCCCCCTTTCCCTGCTTCCCTACCTGCCCTAGTCTACTAATGTGGCCTAATGGTGGGGCACTGTTACATAATATAAAAACTATTTAATAACGCAAGCACAAATTACTAGATTACTCTGGTCGATGAATGAATACTTTATAATATATATATAAAGTATTAACTTATAATACAAGAACCAGTAACCAGGTAAGCTGGATCCTTTTTGGGCAACTTCATTCATATACGAATCATCAATTATTAATATAAGCGCCCTACACCTGAAAACTCGGAGTGCTCCCTACAAAAATTGTATTCAATTATGAAGCCATACTTCGTAACATAAGTGCTAATCACGAGATAACTTGGGGCACTTGCTGGCATCTAAATAAATTAATAAATTACTACTTACTAAACAAGCAGCAATCATCAGGTAACCTGGGATGACTACTAAATAATGAATAAATTAATCGAAATCATGTATAATGTAAACGCTACTTACCAGGTAACCTAAGGCACTTGTTAAATATACAACGTATTATTAAAACATTACGCAATAACAAATATACTACTCAGTAGATAACTAAAGCACTTGCGTTACGAAGTAATGCTTTCTTAGCCAATAAAGTAGTCAGAAAACGTCCAGGGTCATCTGGTATCTGGCGCTTGAGTTACAAATTGACACTTTATTAACTAATCAAGTAAGCAGTAAGTATTTTGAGTTACTTGGTTATTTGTGATAAATATTGTTCATCGATTTTTTATTAATTTATCGAACAGCAAAAAGTGCCTCAAAAAACCTAGTGATTGGCACTTGTGTTGTTTAATCGTATTTTATCATAAAATAGAGTAGCTAGTAGGTGCCCCAAGTTATCTGGTGATTGGCACTCGTGATGCTTAATTGTACTTTATTAATCAATGAAGTAGCCTATAGGTACCCTGGGTTATCAAGTGATTTTCGCTCACATAATTAATTTGACTGTTTATGACAACAGATAATAATGTTGAGTAGTTCATACAAAGTTGAGTTATGTAGTTAAAGGCCTTAATATTTCTGGGCTATGAGGTTAAATACTTTGGCTTTATTTGGTTGAAGAGCTTAGGTTGAAGTTTTTTTATTTTTTTGGGATTCTGGATCCACTTTCCAATTCTGTCCCAATCGTTCTGAATTGTGCGGCTTACTATCGATAGGGTTAATTTAGTGGGATAGGGACATCGGGAATAATTTGCTATGGAGCTCTGGTTGGGATACGCTTTGAGTGATTATACGTTATACTTGTTTTCTCTGACAACTCGTTTCACTTGATACACCTGCTCTTGTTAAAAGAGATAAATTATATCATATATTTTTACGCCTAAATTAAAAATAATTTATTGTTAATCACAGCTAATGCATTAATGTAGATAAAAAATGATAACTACATTTGTTGGCAAGGTACTGAGTCAAAATTAAGTGAACCAACGTTGGGCAGTTGAAAGGCACTAGCGATCTTTGTTTTGGTGCTGAAATAGTACATATTTTTTTCTTACCACTTGATACATAAGCTTATGGGAAGAAAAAATATTACGCTGTTGTATTACATATCTAAATCATAAAAGAATAAGTCAGCTGGCTTGACTGACGCATGTGTGTACGTGTGTGTGTAAGTAAGAAACTCTTGCTATATTCGTTGACGAGGTAGTGTGTTAAAGACGAGTAAGCCTAGGTTGGAATAAGCTTTTGGTCATAAAATAGTATACATGTTTTCTCTGACAACTAACATCATTAGATGTGACCACTCTCAAGAAAAAAAGACATTTCACTGGTACATGATATGCTTGAGTAAAAGAAGGTGAGTCAGTGGTCACGGCAAATACATGCATGTAGGTAAGAAATTTTAACAATAATAATTGTTAAGGTACTGCCTCAAAAATGATTCAGCAAGCATTCAGCAATTAAAAAGAATACGAGGTCTCTTTGTAGTAACCAAACAGTATATGCGTTTTCTCTAACAACTCGCATCACTCGGTACACTCGCTGTCGAGAAGAAAAAAAAGTATAACGACGGTGTATTATATGCCTCAATAAGGAGCAAAAAGTCATCGACCATGATAAACGCATCAATATAGATAAGAAATAATAGCTCCATTACTTGGCAAGGTCCTGTAAAGAGTAAGTCAGCGTTGGTCAGTTAAAGGGGATATGTGGTCAACTTTTCGTAATGGTGTAGCAAGTATTTTCTCCAAAAACTTGATAAGTAATACAGTCAACCCTCTCATTTAATTCTTACTATTCAACTTTCACATTATTAGTTTGTGTGGGAAAAAAGGATGTTCTGGATCAATCAAACATATATTTAGGGGTAAAATCTGTACAAGTTTTTATTAATCATGTATAGTAGAATAAAGAAAATGTGGACAAATGTAAGTAACAAGTGTTGACGTGTTATAAAAAATTTGTTAACTTTTGTCCCTTAAGACAGCAGTCTAACATAACCCACTTTAACTAAAAGTTACATATTTTTGTTAGTCATAAATTGTATGTATCAAGTTATAATTGTTTGAAGATACTTATTTCACTGCATCAAGCTACTTTTGTCTGTGGCCCATATGTAACTAAAATTCCCAGTTCACTTTAATTTTAAATAGTTATCCAGGATCGTTAAATCGGCATAGGTTCATGATTTATCATTATCATAATTGCTGTCATCATATTTTTTAACAATAATGGTTAATATGAATAAGTCTTGGTTGAATATGAGGTGCAGCC